CTCTCTCTCTCTCTCTCTCTCTCTCTCTCTCTCTCTCTCTCTCTCTCTCTCTCTCTCTCTCTGTCTGTCTGTCTGTCTGTCTGTCTCTCTCTCTCTCTCTCTCTATATATATATATATATAAATAAAAAAGCCTGCAGGTAATAACTATATGTATTAACTACTAAGTACAAAGACTATTAAATATGCTTGCATAGTGTGCAGAGAAGAAGGCAGACACTACACAAGGGTTCTGTCTTGCTGCCATTGGCATTAGGAAGAAATTGAGGAACAAATCAGCCTGCTCTAATCTTTATGCCCTTGGGTGAGGGGGCAGGGGACATCTATGGCACAGGCATAGCCAACCAACTCCATTGGAGCTAACAGAATCCAGTGTTGCGCACATGGGGCAATGCACACCCAGACTGGAATCTATGTGGACAATCACTTGAAAAATAACTATGCACTACTTTAGATACAGTGGCTTACCTGAAAGAGCTTTTCTGCAAAACATGTTAACCTTGAAGAAGAGAAATTATCCACAACTTGCTTCATCAAAAATTAAAAAACAAAAAAACAACAAAAAAAACCCCTATCTGTTTAACAACAGTGAGAAAACCCATTGAAATGTGTTTGGAGAAGGTATAAAAGAATTGTTCTTTAACTTAATATTAAACTTCTCCATTAATATTGTGCATGAACATCCTATACATATATTTATGTAACAGATACATATATCCTACTTATGCATAGCTAAATATTGCATACATTAACATATATTTACAAAATTTTAAAATATTAATAAGGCACTCCATTGAAACTATAAAATCAGAACATTTCAAATTAATGGGCTCTTTATTTCTGAGCTACCCATTTATTCTTTCCACAACAAAAATAAACCTGTGACAACTGAAGACGTAGGTTTGGAAAAAAAAATTGTGTGTTACCGGGTTTACTTTTAGAACTTGTGTGTCACTTCGATACCACAGTAGGGATTGCAGTGCAAATGCCTATATTAATTAGATGGATTAATATGCAAACCTATGTATGATTACTGTTATACTCTATACACACCTTTACAGCATGATTTCGTATCCTCCTTGGAGATCCAGCAAAAGGTATGTCTATACTCGGTCTCCCATCAGACGGTTTAACAGTAACCCTTTCTGCAGGAGTGTGCGGTCTCCTTGGCGGAAAGATTTTTGGAGGTCCTGGTGGAGGAATATCGGAAGGAGATGGAGGAACAGAAATTGATCGTGGAACATCTAGTGAACTTTTTGCTTTACCACGGTCAGTAAAGTCCGGAGAACCTGCATAAACTGGAGCAGTTGGACTGCCATGTTTAAACTGCTGTCTCTGTTGCCACTCGTATAGCTGCCATACAGTACCATCCTTATTAGCTTTCCTCTCCTCATGGGACATTTTCAAGTGACTAACACGGTCCTGGGCATATTTGTAGTCACTTGGCAAGTTGCGATTTGGTGGAGGAGAGCTCCCTGAAGGCTGCCTGGTATTCTTTGGCAAGGTATGATAATTTTCAGGAAAAGACGAAGACTGACTGGGACCTTGACGAGTTAGAATCTGATCAGGAGCAAGACTGTGAGAAGAAGAGATATAGATTTAAATGTACATTTATCAATAGGATTGGCTAAAGTAAAAACATAAATTATCTCTTCTAATTAATGTTACCTTAGGAATTATACAAGATTCTGATTAAAATTCACTTAATGTGTACAAAATGAAGCTACTATTGCCCCGGTATCTTTATATAAAAAACCTGCACTATTCACATATTAAGATTGCAGTAATCTGGTAAGTCATTTTACTTTGAGAAATATCTGAAAGCCACAATTCTTTGATCAATGATCAGCCTGGACCTATCACAGCAGAGCTAGCTTTAAGGGAATAAGTTACATTACCTCTATGTTTAGAAACACTAGAAGTCAAGTATGCAAAGAACTGAGTCATAGTTGTGTTTATAAACAGCAAATACTATAAGTAAGTAATTTTTACGTTTAGTTAAAAGGTACATTGTTCACCACTAGATGGTGTAGTTTGCTGTACAAATGTGATATATTAATTCATTTTAAAAATTACATTACCTTAAAAATCAGAGAGGAGGAAGAAACCTCACCAGACAGAATAAGCAACGGTTATGTAGATTTTGCTTCATTATACATAAAAGAGATAAACCATTTCTTAAATTCTTTGATATATGAACATTTGTTTGGAATGTTCTAGTCCTTATGAATTACTCTTTTACATGATATAATGCTACTGGTCCTTGCTATCTTAAGCAGCACATAGGAATTTACAAGGAAATTCATTTATAGTCCTGCTACAAAAAAATGGCACTTCCTGGGTTCAGTACAACATGCAGAAATTAAATTGCAGAAATTAGCTCCACATTTGGCCAGCAGCTTTCACGCAAAATCTGTTGGCTTCCAACTTTGACCTAGTTGACTTCATGAAGTCTTTTCACAGCCTGAAATACGAGAATGATCCCACTTGTCTATTATCCAATTCTGCACTTAGCCATCATTATTTTGTCCTTTTAGTATCTGAGGGTCATTTGCTTCAACATCTCCAGTCAGCAACATTGCTCTCTCTGCCAGACCTCATGGAAGACAATGTAAAGGAAAGTGTGGGATGGAAGGAAAAGATTATATTTTCTTAGCATACAAGATGGATATGAGGAACAAAAAGAGAGCACGTGATTACTTACCAGTAACTCTTGTTCTTCAAGAGTTGCCTCTGTGTATTCCCACTCATGGGATTTGGTGCCCAGAGGCTGTGGAATTGCCTTGAAAAATTGTGACTCAAATTGGGAGGCTCTTGAGAAATCTCATGTGAGAATAATGTCATTACCCTACTCTATATAAGGAAGTGCACGCCCCACCCCAACTCAATTTCTACTCCCAAACTGTACAGTCCTGATGTTATTTAGAACTCCGAGGTAGAGGAGAAGGTGGGTAGTGTGAATGCACAGAGATGACTCTAAAAGACCAAGTAACCGCTTTTTCTTCTTTGAGGGCTTCTGCACTTCCATTTATGGGATTCTAGTGGGCAGTGCTCCATCAAGTAGAATGTGGGTGAAGAGAGATTAGCTAAATACATACTGTAGCATGGCACCACTCTTCTAGACTGGATACTGGACCACGATGCTAAGTGCAAAATGAGGTGCTTGGTGAAAGTGTACACTGAACTGCAAGTTGCTGCTTTGAGTATCTTCATGAAGGAAACATATCTAAGCTGTGCTACTGCTGCTGCAGAGGGAGGCTCTAAGGAGTGGGGTTTTAAACTAGGATGTTACTGGTTTCCTAGTCAAGATGTAACACTATTCTATATACCTCCAATCCAGTGTGAGTGTGTAAGATAATGGATTCTCACTGGCATCTCGCCCATATGCTTCAAATAACCAATTAGATTTTTTAAAGGGCTTGGTCTTTTCCAGGTAAAAAGAAGAGCACTGTCTTCACGTCTAGGAGAGGAGATTCCCGTGGGTGGGAGTGAAGTCTAGGGAAGAACACAGGGAGGGAAATGCAGTAAGAGAAGTGGAAATCTGAGACCACCTTAGGTATGGAGCTGGGATGAGGCCTCATGGTGACTTTCTCCTTGTAGACCACCCTATTAGATGAAGTGGCTAGCTATTAAAGCACTAAGATCACTCACTCTCCTAGCAGACATTACTATTATTAGGAAGGCTATTTGATCAATAGATGCTTGAGAGAGATTTGTGCAAGAAGTTCAAAGACGACCAGTCAGCTTAATTTCGACAAGATTTAGGGTGCCTTAAATGGGAGCTCTTTACTGAGGGGAAACACATTTACCATGCCTTTAAGGAACCTGGAGATTGTTGAGTGACCGAAGATAGGTTTGTTCAGAACATAATTGTGATGAGCAGATATTGCTGCCATATCGACTTTCAGCGAGGCTATAGCTAAGCCCTGAGACTTAAGGTGTAGAAGCTACTCTAGGAGTGCAGAGACCCCAGCTTGAGATGGAGCAAGTACTTTACTAGTGGCACAGATAGTAAACCATTTCCTTTTCAGTTTATAGAATTTCTGAGTGTAGCCTTCCCTGTATTACACTAAGGATGGCCTGAATTCTCTGAGAACAGAAATAGTCCTCATTAGTCAGAAGGTTATCCTCCAATACTGCACAGTGGAGCATTTCTGGGTTGAGATGCAGAATTCCTTCCTGGCTTTTGAGACAGGAGGTCTGGAGAAAGAGCAGCAGGTATGATAGTTTTCTGACAAGCAGCAAAAGATTTGGGGATACCAGTGCTAGTAAGGTTACATTGGGGCTACTAATACATTGTTTGCTTTGTGCAACCTGATTTTCTATAGGACTCAGGTTATCAGAGGAACGTGAAGGAAGGGAAGGTGTATACAATGTGTTGAATCCAGTTCAGCAGAAATCCACCAGGGAGAGTTTTTGTCCCGGTGTGCTCTGTTGAATACAAGTGGCATTTGGTGTTTTGTTCAGACATGAAGAGGCCCATCATTGAGTGGTCCCAATAGTGAAATAGTCTCTGGCCACCACTGGTTTCAAGTACCACTTGTATTGATTCTGAGCCCTCCTGCTGAGTGAGTCTGCCTCCACATTCTTTCTCCCTCAAGCTGTAGAAAAATAGGGTGGAATTGGTTTTGGATGTACCACAGCCTGTTTTCTTGCCTCCACAGATAAAGGTTGGGAATGTACTCCCTCCCCCCTTGCTTAGACATGTAGTACATGGCTATGTTGTTATCCGTACATGGCTGTAGTGTTGGCACTGGTGGACACTGTGACGTTAGAGGAGAGGGAAGCAAAGGGTACCCTCAGAAGGACATTGCCCCCATTTTCCCACCAATAAAACTACTGAAGCACTTGAGGTGGAATGGTCAGTTTTTTCTGAAGGCTGTGAACATTTAATGCATAGTTACCTGCTACCCAGCTTTGCAAGGATCTAATGTTCAAATGTGTAGGATGATGAGACCATCAAGCCTAGTAGCCTTAAGAAAAATTGTGGTCTTTACCAGGTGTGCTCTGAGAGTTGTCAGGATATCTCAAATTTTGAGAAGTCTCTTTTGTGAAAGAAAGGCTCTGGCCCGAGTACAGTTCAGTACTGTTCCAATGAAAGTGCTACTCTGTGCAAGCTGAAGCAATGATTTCTCCCAGATAATTAATTCCAAAGACTGGAAAAGTTGCACAAGACCGAGAAGAGGTCTTGTTGTGAGCTGACCCTTTGAAGCCAGTTGTCTAGGTATGGGCAGATGAATATTCCTTTGTGTCTGATGTATACAGCAACCACCTGGACACATCTGAAAGTCTTAAAGGCCTGTGGACAAGCAGAAAGGACAGACTATAAAACGGTAGCATCTTGTCCCCTCACAGAACCTCAGGTTTGTGATATGATCATCACATGAAAATAGTTGTCCTTTAAGTCAAGAGCTGCATACCAACACCCTGCAATAAAGCCGTGCACATCCTGAACCTGTTGACGTTTCTGAGGTCTAAATTGGGTCTCAAACTGTCACTCTTCTTGGAGATCAGGAAATACTGGTAATAAAATCCTTTCCCATGGTGTACCCATGGAATCTCCTCTATGACTCCCTTGTTGAGAAGGGAATAGCCTTCTTCCCACAGGATTCTTCCGAAAGATGAATCAGTGAAGAGGGAAGCAGGAGCTGGAGGATGGTGAGGTGGCCTGGTGCAGAATTGGATAGTGTCTATTACCTGTGACTGGAAGAAATCATGCACCAGATGATGTAGAAGAGAGATGAGGCCCAAAAGGAGGGAGAAAGAATTGGAGATGTGGTACATATTGGTGTGTGGCTGTCAACCACACCATCAGAATTGCTGCTTGGAGGCTGATGCTGAGGACCATGAAGAGGTATGATGAGGAATCCTGCCCCTATACCATTGAGGTAGTTCGCCAGCAGCCTGTTTTGGAAGTAGCTAATAATGCCTCTGGGATTGCATTCCTTGGCATTACAAGAAAGTTTGTCTCTGGAAGCAGAATGACACTCTGCTCTCAGAGTGCGTAGCAAGCCTACAACCCTTAGTGACTAAAGTCTTAGCCATTTTTTTCTGTTCCTTTGGTAAGGAGTCCCTCACGGCATCCTACAAGATATAAACGTAATGGGACATTATGGCCTTATAATTGGCCACCCAAAAGGCCAATGAGCCAGATCAGAAGACACTTATGCCAAATATATAAAGCTTACTCTGTTACCTCACACTGTCTCCCATGCTGCAGACACTGCCACGGAGCTAGCTGGCAAATGTTGTAGCAGGAACGGATATCCTTCACCTGGCACAGGATATATCCTGTCTGCTTGTTTGGACACATGCAGGAATGAAAAAGGAGACAGATATTTTTGGCTGTGTTGAAAATGCTGGAGCTAGGAGGTGGAGACAGCTTCTTCCTGGTCTATATCTGTAATATGTCAAACAAGGGATCAGATATCTCAGGGGCCATGACACCTGCTGGTAACTGAAGAGTCTCTGCCATTCTCCCAAATAGCTCCTAAACTGTTTCTGTTCATCATAAAAGGAAACAGAGAGAACTCCATTTGATTGTCTGGTGAGGTGCCACCTGCATGTTCCTCCACAATGGACCCATACAGATCCTCTGAAGGAATCTCATCCCATTATTCCAATACAGCAGATCCACCTGAGGATAAGATGGATGCAGTGGTGGTATCAGGATGCATTAGTACCTAGTGAGGGCACTGATGCCAAGTGAAAGCACTGTTCCAGAAAGAGAATCAGTGCCAATTCCTAGGTCAGCATCAGAGTTCGTCTTGCAGTTTCCAAAAAAGGCCTTCATAAAGTCCTGTATGTAGGGCCACATTAGCAACTGAACAGGGACCTGCATGATATCCTTCTATGATATCTGGATTTGAGATAAGGGATGAGTTCTGGTTTCCTGAGATCTAATCAGGGGACCTGCAAGTTCATCTTCAAAGGTGCTCTGAGGCAGGTCTGTACTGGGACTGAAAGATGGCACAGAGTCAGGTTGCAGAAAAGGATTCAGTTGGATGGTTAATAGCCTTGACCATGGACCCCACACACAGTCAGATGCAGAGAAATTGAAAGTGTTATTAGAATCTGAAACAGTGAGGAGTCCAAGTTATTTGGTGCCAAGATGACTGGTTCTGGAGGAGCATTGAGAAGAGGTGACCACACCACTGTCTGAGTCTTCAAAGCGCCCATGGGTCTCAGATTGCAGAAGAGGATTGAGATGATGCTTCCTCTTTTTCTTCAGTTTATGACTCATGGGGGGAGATGTACTTCCTAGTCTCCTTCCTGAAAGCACATTTGACTGTGCTTGAGGTACCAAGGCAGAAGCGTTAGTGCCAGAGGTCAGGTCTGGAGTTTATACTGAGCAATGGTGCCAGGTGAGGAGTAGGCACTGAGGTGGGTACTTCCTGTGTCAGCATCAGGGCTAATGAGGCCTAAAATGGATGCTTTGGTTGTGCTGGATGAAGGATTCCGTGTCAGTACAGGGCCAAGAAGATCCCAGTCTTGAGACAGTAGTAGAAGGCAGCCCTGATAATGGAGCAGTAAATGTGTGTCTTGGGTCCTGTGTAAGAGGACCTTGGCACAGAGACTGGTCTCAGTTTCCTCAGCAGGCCTGCTGAAGTATCAGGCTATAACACTGAGAAGCCAGATGAGCCCGAGTGTAGGTGTAGCAAATCGTATATTGGGTTACCGAGTGGGTCTCTCCAAGACACAGAAGGCACAGGACATCTCTGGTATGACTGCCAAGCAAGATGCACACCTCACAAAGCCTTTACATGGCCCAAGGTTTATTCTCGATAAGGTGTTGAAGGCTCCCAGTACAGGTGAAGGGCTATTCACTCTTAGCTATCTTATACTATTCTAAATGAACAGTTTAGAATAAAGTTTTAAGCTAGACTAAGGGAAGGTCTAATAGTAAGGACACAAAGCAAATTCTGTTCACTTTCTAAAGCGGCAGCAAAAAAAAGTGAAGCAGGTGGGGGTGTGAACACCCTTATATAAAGTAGGGTGATGACCCTCACCCTTGTGTGAGAATGCGTATGAAATCCCCTCAACAGAGACAGTTGTTTAAGGCAGTTCTACAGCTTGATACCAGGGGAGCGAAATCTCACAAGTGGAAACGCATAGAAGCTCTTGAACAAGAAAAGTATGGCTCTTACTGAAAAGAGCCAAGAATAGGAAAAGTTCTCTGCAACAGGAATTATTTCTTGCTATATTTGAAAGGGGAGGATATTGCTCAGCATGAGCGTGTTTAATAGGAAAGTACTGAACAGGTTTAGCTTGGGTTTGACTCATAAAAGAATTTAAAAAAAAAAAAACCCAAAGACCAGATTCTTCTAAAGTTCTGTATTCACCATGTCTGCCTGTGCATTGAAGTCTTCAGACTGAAGGCTGGAGCATCACCTCTGAATGACTACAGGATGTGGGCGCCCCTCACGTAGTGATTTTTCTTTTAAGTAATTCCAACCTCCTGGGAACATCTTTTAAAACTTTCTACCTCAGTCATTTTCAACCTGCATAATCTTTTTGGATGTCTTACTTTACAAGGGTGTGTTACTGAGAGCCAAAGCTTATCAATGCCACAGAACCAGCTATGGGTACTATATGAAATGGGAGGAAAAGTATCTTTTTAAAAAGGTCTTATGCCACCTTCCAGATATTAAAGTGTTGATCCTGAGCCTACAATAATTATGCAAATGGACCCCTAGAGCCCACACAGAGTCTCAGTGATATAAATAGGTCTCTGTGTAGACACATGAAGTTCACTAGCATGCATCACATTGCAGGATCAGGGTCTTGGTTTGAGTTGAGTTGAGCCAGGAAGCAACTTCATATGTATTTCATGCATCAGCAATTATGAGGTTTTTAAAACGTTTATAAATATTATTTTTTAAAATGATGGGTATATACATTTAAGAAATAGTCATCAGATTTATTGCCCCAAACTAGTGCATTCTGCAAATCATATCCTGCAGACTTATTATTATAATTTATGGAATGACAGCATAATCCATGAACTGTGAAGCACCATAAAACTAAGTGGGCTGTTCATGGTCAAATCCAACAAATTAAAATAAAAAGTGAATTACACTGGCCATCTCTCAAAGTTAATATTACTACCTTAAATTTCTATAACACTCTTCATCACATCCCACTAGCAAAAGTTTCATAGAAAGCTTTATGGTAACAATACGCCCGGTCGTTTTATGTCTCATTCAAAAGATGGCACCTGTAATTGCAGTGTCCCTATCACCAGGCTGGGAAATTTGCATAATATTAACTCAAATCTGTTAATTTTCCTAATGCCTCCTAGTTAGGTACTAATCAAGTCTGACCATTACCCACAATTTCTTTTTGGGGGGGGGGGGGGAAGGGGGGAAAGGAGGAGGGAAGGGAATGTTTTCAGTGGCTTTCCTATAACACTGATAGATTTTAAACTGTTCTGTTAATTTTTAATCATAATTATAATGTTTTTAATTTTTTGTATGTTTGTGTGGCTAGTATAGAACACCAAAAGAAGATAGTACATTGTATTTATATAGCATATATTAGCAACAGTGCATGTTTAGAAAAAAATACTAAAGACATAATTTCCCCTACCTTTAACAGTATCCACCCAAACAAATAAATAGGCAAATAAAACAGAATTATAAAAGAATTAAAAATTATTGAAAATACTAGATTAAGGCAGCATACAGGCTTCTGATGATAGGGTTATTTTGTTTTTTGGTTTCTTTTGAGGGGAGGGGAGTGGACAGAGGAGGAAATGAGAGGAGCAGAAAACTGGAATTTCACAGAGTTTGCATTATTAATTAATTAATTGAAGTCTCTTACTGGAACTCCAGCAGAGAAATATGAACAATTTTAATATGTATTTAATTTTTTTTAATTTAAATTTGTTCTCCCATTGATATCCATCACAATTTTTTTAAATTTAAATTTGTTCCCCCATTTATATCCATCACAATTTGAGTCCTCCCCACTCATAGGTCACACATTCGATTTTCTCCTATTCATTACCACTTCATCTCAATTTCATAAGTTTCCTTTAAATACAAGGCTCTGATCCTAAAAAGTTAACTCCATGTGGGAGGATTTGTGTGAGCGTATAGCCCCCAACTAACTTTACTGGGACTCCACAAGGAGTAACTTGCAGGATCAGTAAAAGCAGATACCTATTACTTATCAGACCATCACTTTCCAGAAAGAGAGAGACCAGAGAAATACATATGTGCACACCCACCTTGAAGAAAAATAAACAGATGAAAACATTGGTAAGTTACAGATAATACAAACATTAAGCATTCCATCTGCCTATACGCCCTGGCTTTCATGTAATTTTCAGACTAAAAAGGAACAAGATGCATCTTGTATGCCACAGTGACATTTTAGTGCTGCTTCATTAGACATATTGTGCATCCAAAATACTGAAGAATCCAGTTACACTGCATTTCATGTATGTGTTACATACCAACATGACCCATATACAAGAATTGTGGGGGAAAACAAACAAGGGGAAAAGATTAAAATTTCTCTCTCTCTTGTTTTTAAGTGGAAAACAGGTTAAACTTGTAATCTATTTTGTCCATGAATAAAAGAGGACTTTAAGAGTTAGTCTTTTCATATTGGCTCTTAAATTTTGAATAAATTCAGGTCAAATTTTTTAAGAAAACATCCAATATGTTCAAAGAGAATATAAACATATACCAATAGCTCATATTTTCAGTTGACAATCAAAATGTGAACACATTTAAGGAAATGTTTTCATCAGTATCATACTGACTTTTCCAAAATTCAAAGTACATATTTTAAAAGTGTTATTCTGCACTGGATGGATGAGAAAATTAATAGTAGTCACTGCATACTATCTTAATATGGTAGCATTCTGCTTGGTATAAAACAAGTTATCTGACATTTGTTTTCCTTTATTTTGAGAACACCACAATTAACTATTTAAAGACTGGCTTATTACTAACCTTTTTGTGTCTCCTTTTTGGACTTTTACCCAGTGCTCCACTTGAGTCATGTTGTTTTTCCTTTGCATGTGTTTATCTGGATTTGCTCTGGGAACAAACCCTCTTTTATACAAACTGGTACCATTCTGCTCCACTGGGCCAACACTCATGTTTAATGAACTAGGAAACGTCCCATTCTTCTCAACTGGCTGAGGCTGAGCTACTTGGGGCCGAGATGCACTTGTTAAATCTGGAAACTGATCAACTTCTCCTGATGTTAATGGATGCTTAGATTTTCCCCTCTTAGCTTCCAGAATTTCTTTTCTGAAGACATAATGTTCCTCATCTTCTCTTTCTTTTCTTATCTCTTCATGCCTATCGTATCCAAAGGTTTCAGTTGCTTTTTGATAACTTTCTTTTATATCAGCAGTATCCACCACCTTTGCACGCTCTTTGCAGGAATCCACATGGTTAGCTTGGGGAACAGCTTGCTGATCCGCTTTTTCTGTTTCTCTGCAATGAAAATATGTGCTTATGTGAACACCACTTTAGTGTGAAATCTTAAAAGAAAAGTCAGTGTAGATTTGCTAAGATTTTAAGAATGGGAAGCCCACAAAAATAGCCTCTACAGCTGGTGATAACCTGATGCACCAGGGGTGTGTGACTGCAGATAGGACTGGGTGAGAATCCTTTGTTCCCCCATTTATACAAACCATTACTAAGGAAGCACCAAAGAAACTTATTTTCAGCTGCACTTTGCTAGAAACAGTTATACTTAATTATTGAAAAATAAACTGAAAATACTGATAGCACAGCATAGTGTTCAACTTCTGTAAATGTAAAATTGTGTGTTACAGGGGTTGGGAGGGAAGAAGTTGTAGACTTAAAAACAAATTCCCAGGAGAGGAAAACACCTGCCATGTGGTATAAGCGTCTCCATTTCAAAGGGGAAAAAATTCTCTTAGAAGTATTTTTATAAGCTCCAAGAATAAGGCATTTCTGATAAGGATGATATAGCAATATCCAGAGAGAGATGAAGTCCCATCAGAAGCAAGAGAAATCATTCTAACCCTTAGTCAGTTTGGTGGCTAAATTTTAACAAGACTATCACAGATAAAATTGTTAAATATGTTATTTTAAGTACTTTATTTTAGGTATTTTCCTTTTTTCTAAACTTTGCCAAAACCCAAAGCAGAATATCTTTTGAGATTATTTGATAATTGGAAGTGTTAGGTACTATTGTTGGTTTATATAATTTTTATAGCTAGCCCACTTCATCTGTAACTTTCCTCATTTAATCCTTTTTGGCAGTTTATTAAGATGTCACTGATCTCTAAGTAGCACTACATCTTCTCTGAAACCATATGACCTGATAGTCAGTTTTTGGTATCAGCATCTGTAAAGCTTCAAAGTACATAGCCTAGCTGTCCGGGGCGGCTCCAGGCACCAGAACACCAAGTGCGTGCCTGGGGCGGCAAGCTGCGGGGGGCGGCCTGCCGGTCGCTGTGGCGGCAGCTGTCAGGGAGCCTTCGGCGGCATGCCTGCGGGTGGTCCGCCGGTCCTGCGGCTTTGGCGGCAATTCGACAGTGGGTACGCCGAAGCTGTGGGACCAGCAGACCTCCTGCAGGCATGCCACCGAAGCCGCGGGACCAGCGGACCTCCCGCAGGCGCGCCGCCAAAAGCCGCCTGACTGCCATTCTTGGGGCGGCAAAATACATAGAGCCGCCCCTGCTAGCTGTGAAGCCTTTTCTTGGAGTCTCTGTTTATTAAATCTGTCAGACTTTGGCTGATATATTTTTAAACTGGCAGTGCACAGATATTAACCTGTTTTTTAAATGCTATATCAATTAAAAGATTTTGGGACACAGAGGTCCTAAACCAGACTATCCAGTGTCACCGTGACATTCCCATCTTCAAGAGACTAAAGCTATATTTTCACTTTCCATTTAAGGGCCAGACAGAGTCTACACTGCTTAAGTGCCATTGTGTGAACAAATTCCATTCAAGAACTGGGCAATTCTGTAGTTCTGCACAAGCCCTTAGCTGCCAAGATTCTAAACACGTAGAGAGCTAGTCAAAAATAAGGACACATTTTTTGCATAATGTTTGTCCCTTTTTTCATTGAAAATTTTTGAATATCAATTTTTTTCACCCATCTCTATTTTTTAAAGAGACAATTCTCAAAAAAAAATAAATTTTTTTTTGAGTGGCCTCACCATGGCAGCCAGTTTGCAGGGCTTGGTTCAAGTGTATTCGGAGGTCCAGGAGGATCAATTCAATTGAGCCACCCTCCCATGTAATTATATGATTCAAATTGCAAGGGCAGGTATACAGGAAAGAACAGAGAAGGACGGAAGGTCCAGAGGTAAAGACAGGAAATAGGCATCATGCAGGCAGCATGATCACTTCAGAGTCCTGAAATAGCTTAAAGGGCAATCATCCAGGCACAACTACTGAAGCAGGGGAAGAAACAAGATGGTAAAATACCTAGGCTTTGTATTCTCTAGGGGGGGGAAAATGTTGTTTTTTTAACTCAAGGTAAAATCCTAGTGAAGACAAAGCAGTGTGTAGTGTTCACACAAGTTAACAGGTTCAAGAGACTTTGGGAGAGCCTACACCCAGTCAACTTGGGCAAAAACTACAAACTGCTTTGTCTTCACTAGAATTGTTTGAGTTAGCTAGCTCATGTTAAGAGCACACATTTTTCTTAGTAAAGACATCCTAAAGAGGAAGGGACCCTGAATCACTCCCCCTTCACACACAAAATACCCCCACTTTTCCTGTATCCATGTCAAAACAAGGAAAGCAGGCAAGCAAGCAGCTCCAAATGTCTGGACAGAGCCTGGGCGCTGGTGTCTCCACTATTCACAAAGTACAGCTCTCCCCATCATTATAGGATGAGGAAGAAGAGAGCCTGAAAAATGCCCTTATGTCTAATTGCCTGAGGACTAAAACCATACTAAGTTTCCACTGGCACATCTTTACTCCCTATAAATAAATCAGTTTTGCACCTATAAATAAATCTGTCCCACTTATGAATAAATTAATTCTGTCCTACAAACTCCTACCCCTATCAAATAAATCTCGATACTGCCACCCTTCTCCAAGCTCCCACCTCTCCTCTTCTTCCCACTTGAAGTCCCTATCTTTCTCCTCACACTGCTGTCTTCACCCCCAAAGACCAGCCCCATGTGTTTCAAGAATAAAGACTGACAGTTTAAATAAATACACAGCTCTCCAACCATAGTCTAAGTAAGCTGAAAACAGGAATGAATGATGAAAGATTCTACCCCATCCAATATAAACAATATTAAATAATCATTGCTAACTGAAAGAGCACCATCTAAAGCAACTGGAGTTAGGGATATGAGTACCTTTCTGATAAAAATGTCTGCATTTTCATCTTCAGCAGTTACTACTAACTCTCAGTCACATTTTCAGTCTTGTGCATGGTCATAATTTACATGCTACTAACTTTCTTGGGATTTTCCCCACCAATTTTTGTTTAGATTTATAGTGCATGGTTACACAGGGATAAAAGACCAGCAGCACAGCCGCGGCTGGCCCGAGTCACCTGATTCGGGTTCGCGGGGCTGGGGGCTAAAACTCTCTGTGTAAACACTCGCCAGCTGGGCTGCTTAACTGTTCAGTTCTCCTTCCGGGGATTTATCGCTGTCCGATTGTAGGCCACTTCCCCAGTGACCTATGGGGTAGGGAGGAGACTCAGGCCTACCCAGTACTCCAGGCCCCAGCCCAGGGATTCTCATGCCGCTATGTCCCTTTAACAAAACTACCTTCAATTCCTTGGGACACTTCCCCTCAGCCCCAGCCTTCATCGATGCTTCACCCTTAGCACAAGGCTCTTCTGTGCTCAGGCCCAGCAGCCAGCCTGGAGCTCTTTCTCACTCCCCTGGACCCTGCCAGTACTGAGCTGTCCATGGTGCTGCAGTTCCCTTTGGCCAGCCAGGAGCACCAATTTCCTTCCTCTGGCTCCAGCCAGGAACTGCCTGTCTCTGGCACTGCAGCTCCTTTTTATATGGCCATTCCGGGCTCCAATTAGCTGCTCCCTGAAGCCTCTCTGATTGGCTGCTTCCTGAGCAGTGTCTCTAGGCTGCTCGGAGGACTTAGCTCCACTGCTCCTTTCCTGGGATGGGTGTGCCTAGACCATGAGGCCTCCAGCAAAGAGCCTCTGGGCCTGGTACATCCCGTCACAGGTTCAAATAAAGATGCTCCTTTTCTTATTTTTCCAAATTGCTTTTCAGACAATTACGTAAGTACACATCTTTTGAATATTAATTCCTTCAAACAAATGTTATTCTACCTTCGCTTTCTGTTTTATTCCTTCACAATTCAATGTTAAATATGGGTGAAAAAATGGAATCAGTATGTAAAATTTACAGGCCTCCCTGATATTTTTCCTTTCAATTGTTCCTAGCCATAACTTATAAAGAACATACTGTATATACTTGTTCATTAGCCCGTTTATTAGACCCCCCCCCAAGATGGTTAGGTAAAAATAGCAAAAACTGTATGACCCTTTCATAAGCCGACCCTATATTTCAGGGGTTGGCAAACTTTGGCTCCCAGCCCTTCAGGGTAAGCCGCTGGCGGGTCAGAACGTTTTGTTTACCTGGAGAGTTCACAGGCAGAGACCCCCTCAGCCCCCAGTGCCTGCGGTTTGCCGTTCCCAGCCAATGGGAGCTGCGGGAAGTGGCTGAGAACGGTGAACTGCGGCCATAGAGAGCTGAGGGGCTCCAT